TATATATATATATATATTGATTTTGTGTTTGTGGAATAAGGGAGGATTATGTGATGTCTGGTGGGATCGGGTTGCGCGCCGCAACAACCTATATGTTTCTATTTCTTGAGCTGCGTTATTTTTCGGTATTTTTATTTGAGTTGGTAGAGATTGGTAATTTTGGACAATACTGGTTTATTTTCAATGTTGTGGTTATCATTTTCTGTTGGCTGTTTAATTTTGTACTGTATTTTAATTATTCTGTCATTATGATAGACTGCGTACAAATTTTAGCATAGGTGACCCGCCTTAGCCTCGTCACCACTTCGTCGAGGTTAGACTCGGAACTTACTAGTACATGGGGTAGGTTATACTGATACTGCACTCTGCATACTGTGCATATTTTGAAGACGGTCCCCGCGGCGGTTATTAGCGAGCTCGTATCAAACATTAGCGGAGACTTGAGGTGCGGTTGTTCAGCGCCCGCAGCTCCTGGAGTCCCCATCCTCTATCTATTTAGTTGTGTATTTTCATTCGAACAACTTGTTATTTATTTCAGACCCTTACGTGTATTACTCTAGTAGTTCGTGCACTCGTGACACGAGGTTCAGGGAATTGTAATAGATATTTGGCTAGTTCGACTTCCCATTGTTACTTTAAATTTATTCAGTTATCTGAGTTCTTTTTTAATATCTGATTTAAACTGTAAAAAGGAGTAGATTGTTTTAACATTGACTTGCCTAGCAAGTGAAATGTTAGGCGTCATCACGGTCTCGATGGTAGAAATTCCGAGTCGTAACAATATCACTACAAGAAAGAAGGCATTTCGCAACAATAATTTTTGTTGTTATATATTCAATGTTGTTGCCAAAAGTATTTTTGGCAACGACAAAAAAGTCGTTGCACTCCGTTGCAGTAAACACTGATGGGAAAAGTATATGCAACAACAAAGAATGTTGTTGCCAAAAGGTAACCCGCGCAACAATATATATCGTTGCCATAAGTAATTTGTTTTTTGTAAAGGCCAATGAAGTCGTGGATTATAAAGATATGTAGCAACAAAAATTATTGTTGCGACAAAGTTAGCTTTTTTGCCAACAATATCAGTTGTTGCTAAATAAATTAGTGGTAGATTTAATAATCTGTTATCAAGACTTTTAGCAGCAACTATTATTGTGGTAATACTTACATTTTTGCCAACAGATTCTCTAGTACTACTTTAGCAACAATTTATGAGTTGTTACTAAATATACAATTCATATATTCTTTTAGAATTTTACAAATATATGTAGAAATAATAAATTATATATATAAGCGTCTACACATAAAATTGATGCACTGAATGTACTCACTTTCAAAAACTTAATAGTCCTATTAGTATATTTTCAAAAGCATCATATATTCAAGGTCCTTAAGTTCTATTCTAATACTAACCCAAAAAATAAATCTTCTTCCAACAGCTTGTGCATTACATGAACGGGATGCCAGGAATGTTGGTCTACACATGCTCATCCTAAAAAGAAGAAAAAATAATTAGATTTTAATAAACAAGTAAAAAGGCAATAATATACAACAGCATAAAATGAAAGCAGTGAAATTTGTTTAATTACAACAACTTTAGACTTAAGAAAAATCAGTAACATAGTTTAATGAGAAATAACTGCAACAACTAAAGAAAAATAAATATGTAGCAGTGAAAGCTTGATTAAAGTACTCCCCAAAATAAAGTTGCATCAGAACCTACTAAATACTCCAGGGATATAATATTATAGTCGAAACAAAATACTAGACAAAGATTGATTTATGCAAATAGACTCATTTGCATATACAACTAAGAAACTTCCTTTCATGTGAACTAGAATATGTTTACTTACTATGGTATTATCCATAAGACTTGTAGAACTTGCCTTATCCGACCCATTCAAATTAGCAATCATGTCAAAAATTGCAGCAGGAAGTCCAATCTGTTAAATATTATACAATTAAACTTAAACATGATAGATCCCGGAAGAACCTAATTTATAACATAAAAAATACTAGAACATGTTTTTTCCGGCACACAATAGTTTCCAGAGATTCAAATAAAGAGACAGCATCCACATAAAGCATTTTATACCTTGAATATCTAATATCTCATGTAAAATAGATTATGTATGAGAACGCCCATTCTTCAAAGTTAGTATTATAGGAGATAAAATAGAATCATCATGTATTAGACTTAGAAATATCTTTATTGTAGTATTTAAAACAAGTCTTGAAGTAGTAGTAAATTAGAACCAATTATTACAAAGTTATTGTTTACTTGAATAACTGTATTCCAGCACCCCAACAAAATAGCTCCCCGCCAAAGATCACATCTAACTTACTGCTCCTTTAATTTCTATTATAGCTGAGAATAGCAAATTCATTTTCATGCGTTTTAGGACCATTTTGTGCTTAGTGTTCTGTTCTATTGCATTTCAAATGCAAACTTATGGCATGCCTACAGTCGAAGAAAGTAATATGTGTGTGTGAAAATGACTAACAGGAAAAGTGATGCTATCTCTTTTATTCTCAAGTAGTTTAATAAAATTGTTCTTACGATCAAAAGCAAGTAATTGGAACTTTAACGCCTTACACAAACTAAATACCTCTGAATTTTGCATATCCTGACTTTTCTCCAACAAGTTTCACAAAAGCAGCATTAATATGGTCCACATCAGTACCCTTTTCCGCTTCTTGAATTTGTTCAGCAACAATTTCTGTCAGCTTATCCTACAAACAATTATATAAGCTTAAACTTTCACTGTTTGTTTCAATTGGCTCATATTCTAGGATAAATATAAGAGTTCCGTATTTACATTAAATTCAATAGAGGCATCGTTAACCCAATGTCCTGACTTCGTATGAGTCATTTCCCAAATTTTTTGAAGATTTGGCTCTTTCTCGGTGCTTGAATCTCTCTAGCAAAATAAATTATGTATTATGTTATTGAAGAAAAAATGATAAAAAATAGTCAAAACAAAGATATATCTTACCGCATCAAAAAATACTGCTTGGAAGGATTTTCTGCCGCAAATATGATTTGTTTCTTGTTTTCCCTTATTAGTTTTGTTTCGTGAATTCATTTGTTGCATGGATATATTTTAATTTAAGTAAGAAAGTATAATAAGAAACTAAACAATATTATAAAGTTAAATTTGGTGTACTCCTAATTACCTTAAAAGCATCGGAACTGAAATAGTCCACTAAGAATCCAATTCAGCTTCATTAACCTCTGTCGGCATGTTCTGCAAGCTTTCCTCCTTCGTAGCAAATTTCTTGAAATGATCATGGAGCCTACCACAACGATATCAATATAAATTATTAGTTGTTTGAAGGAAAATATCTTGATTGTGTTGTGTGTCTGGAAGTTGAAACTGCCAATGAGTTGAGGACCTTTCAGCTGCTCTAAAGTTGGATAAATTATTAGTATACTTTATTTGTATACTTACATCCTTACTCTGGTAAATAATTCAATTTCAAAAGTAATCTGAAGTAAATAATAACTGAACCGATTTTGGATGCCTCTTTTTCTCTAATAGAACATGGTAATATGCTATGACTGTAGGTATTCTGCGCTAGCTTATTAAGTAATATTATCATTCAAATATCTTTGATTGGATAGAACACAGCGATGGAGATCGAAGAATCGAACACACCAGATGCAAAAATTTCGTTTAGCAGAATAATGAAAAGAGAAAACCTAGATGCAATGGAAACTAAAATTGCGCGCTAAGAATTTTGGCGCGTTTGTTTTGGTGGAAAACTAAAAGTAATTTACTAAATTTTAGGCGCAAACTTTTGTGTAATAGTAACAACTAATATTTGTTGTTGCCAATTATTTTAATATTTTTTATTTATTATATTACTCCTAAAGTATAGCAACGACAATCTAATATATTTGGTAACAAGAAAATCTTATTGTTAAAAATTCTATGATATAACAACAATCTAATCACGTTGTTGCCATTTATTAAACTTAGCCAACAACCACAGTATTGTTGGTAAAAAGTCGTTACCAATTTATATTTATTTAAAATTTATTATATTATCTGTTAAATATGGCTACAATATTAAAACTTTTGCTAACAAAAAGAATTTTGTGGGTAAAAATTCTATGAAATAGCAACAACTAAATAAAGTTGTTGCCATTTAGTATATTTTGCAACAATATTATTGTTGTTGCAAAAAAAACGGTTGCCAATTTTATAGTTTCTTGTAGTGTATATCAAAATTGTTATTACGAATAAATTATTTTTTTTTTACTATGCTCAATATTTTGTTATTCCACATTATATATGCTTAAATACTACTTTTTAATTTATAAATAAAATTTATATTATAGGTACGTCCATAATATAAATTAAGAAGAGAAAAAAGGGCAGCCTGGAGTACTAAGCTCCTGCTATACGCGGGGTCCAGGGAAGGGCCGGACCACAAGGGTCTATTGTACGCAACCTTACCCTACATTGTTGCAAGAGGCTGTTTCCACGGCTTGAACCTGTGACCTCCTGGTCACATGGCAGCAACTTTACCAGTTACATAAATTAAAAAGAGAAAAAAAGGAGATACACTTTTATTAGTCAAAGAACGGTAGATTTTAGGTACAGCTGATATTTAGCCTAACATATTGAAAGCTTGTATTGAAGGAGGATATACACTTGATGTAGATTAAAAATAGTCTGCTATGTAATCAAGAAGTTACGGATTCAAACGGTAACAACATTTTGTACAAATACAAGATAAAATTACATACATAAGATTCAATACGGTCCGGCTATCCTTAGACCCGAGCACGGTTGAAGTTTAGTGTAGCAAGCTGATTTTTTTTTTCAATTAAAAGCTATTAGAGACACATTATAATAATTTTTGTTGAATAAAACACTAGAAAACTCAGTAAAAGTCCAAGAGTAATAAAAGCATCACTTACCTATAAAAGTAAGTATATAAGAATGACCTTTGTTCCATCACAATTCACAACTAACATCATTGCCATAATTACTTTCTTTACTATTCCTAAAAGCTCATAGTAATGCCATTTTTGGCTACCATTTCTGGCCATGAAAATATTATCCTTTCCAATACCCTAAACAATAACTTTATTTTTGGCTATCTTTATCATTGCTATACGGAGTTCGAAAGCTTGTTACAAAAGTATTTCCACCCAATAGTAAGAATCGCACGTTAAGTATGACTACAGTATATCAAAATAAATAGTGTATTAGACAAAATAGAGTATCAGAGAGGAAAATAAAGGAAAGGACTAGGAGGGATAAATCAATCATTTATCTTTCACTAAATAGAGGCAAATTGGAACTCTTTAAGTAGTGAGTTTAGTGTATTGTTGCACCCAGTGTCTTAAAAGGCATTTTTGGGGCGAGCCCTAGGGCGAGGCACTTTAAAAATGCCCCGAGGTAATGGTGAGGGGCAAAAGTCTCAAGAGGTGAAAGCCCCGGGTGTTCGGGGTGTGTTTTTATAGTGAGGCATAAGCCCCAAAGACATTTTCAAATTAAAACAAATTTTGTTGAATAAGTCCTTTATATAATACTCAAATTCTCAGAAGTCGGGTTGTAATTACTCAAAAGTTTTAGAAAGGAATTGAAATGTATTAAATTTAAAAGTCAAGACCTTTTTTATTGATTGAAGCTCTAATTCATGGTCTTTCCCGATTTTTTATCTTGTCCGCTAGTCTGCTAATATCTCTCGAAAACAATGAATATTCAATTTTTTTTTACACATTCTCCTTCATAGCAACAAGTGCAAAGTTCAAAGTTCAAATTGCAGGTTAGTCATCCTTTTTGTTCCTCCCTGTAGAAAACGTTACGTTATTCTTTTCGACTCAAGTTACTTGTGCTTGTAAGTAGCGTATAATTGATTGTTTTGACTAATTTTTTGTGGGGATAGAGCGCACGCGCGACACACACACACACACATATATACATATACATATATATATACGGTAAAATCGGAGAGAGTCCACTTTTTCGTCGTTGTGATGCCTCGTAAGCATATTTCACAGGTTCGAGACTAGGGACGAGGTTCACTCCCGAGGGCTATCGACGCTCGACCTCGGGGCGGTGCAGACCAACGGCTATGATGAAAAAGTGGGGAGTTCCCAAGGCGGATAACTAGAGCTGACAAAGTCTAGTGAGCTAAATTCAGACCCGAATCATGACACCAACTAGTTGTCTCATCTCCATATCTCTGTAATAAATGTATTTGTCCTACGTTGGGGTTTCCCCTCATATATAAAGGGGATCCTTGTCATTTTGTAGTCATCTTTTTTGCTCAATACTAAATACACAAGAACATTCTCTCTGCTCTCTAACATATTCTCTTGATCTTAT